AGATGCGGTTTGTGCTGAAATATCTGTCAAACATGTTTTCTTCAGATAATTTGACTAACTACAGAACTTATAGCATTGAACGACTCAGCACGTTCAATGGTGCTGTAAGTTCCTCCTCACAAAATACTCTCATATGTCTGAGTATATATTGTCTGAACCATGAAAGTCCTACTTGCTTCTTATAATTGGCTGGTGTGTCGTTTACAAAAATGAGGTCAATGGAAATGCAGAATCCATTGGGAGATCTGGAGTAAACTGATTTCATTTAGATGGTGAAAACTGCATTTATGACTCTGACAGAACAGACAATGTATGATTTTATTTTGTCATCGACCACTATTGATCTGAACTTGATTTACTGTCTTCTGGATTGAACTATAGAGTAGGTGTTCCTGAGAAAATCACTTGCACAGGTTTCCTTCCATACTCGAAGAACATCAGGGAGCATGCACAAATATAACCATACACTATTGTAAGACAGAAGTAACCAATTCAGTTTACTCATAAACTAGTGTATCATTGAATAGTAAGTAAATTTTGTAAGATTTTAGTGTAACGAACAAACTCTATCTCAATCAGTCGTACAATAAAGATAGCTCAATGATGACATTTTTTCATAGTGACGATAGGAAGCAGAAAATGTTTCTCAAAAAGTTTTTTATCATAGTATTTTTTTTTGTTTGCAAACTAATAAAATATTTGGCAATTACTTTTTGAGTAACATAAAAATAAGAAATAATCAAATAATCTAAATCATCATCATCAAAATAAAATAGTTTTTAAGTTTAAACTTATTTTTATGATCATTGTGTTCATACATACACAAGAGAGAGAGAGAGAGAGAGAGAGAATCATTGAATTTTTATAGACAAAAACCGACTCATTTTAATAATGCTCACTTGAATAATAAAAATATTAAGAAGTTGTTTTTTAAGAACACAACAACACAACAACACAATGCTTATTTGCCCGCCTCTGTAGGTGTGTGTTTGACATTTGATCGTCATTCATCATACATACTAGAATTATTGTTTGAATTGAATTAGAGTCGTCAATGTTCAATGTTCAATAAATAGGCTTAATTTAAAAACGTACGTATCTATTAAATACACCGTTGTTTTTCTGCTTAATTTGTTCTTTTTATTTTCGTTATTCTTTGTCTCCCAGTAGATTTGAATTTTATTTGAAAATTGATAATGCTTACTTTGAAAGGTGTATTTTTTTAGTTTAATCGTTTGTTTGTTTGTTTAAATTTTATCTTTCTATCATAAAAAAGAAAACATCTTTCGCTTATTAATATTTTTATATTTCTTTTTTTTGGGAAAAGAATTTTAGAAATTTTGAATGATATTTAATGTAGTCAATCGGATAGAAGCTGGAAATATTCTTGTTGACAACAAATTGATGAGAATAAAACTTATCGGTTATTTGTTGTATGATAGAGAGTTTGTGAAGATAGTCAACTTATTGTTGGCAACGTTAGATCCTAAGAACTCACTTGATTGATTAAGGTGCTAAATTTACATTTTGTGTTTTTGCGCAATTAGCTGATCGATTGTCCTTGAGATTACATTTCCTACAAGGAAAATCCTTGACTGTTATTGGTTGATGCTGTATTTCAGTACGCTATTTTTGTGGCCTTCCCAAGGACGTTTCTATCATTGAATAAATAAGCTTGATTTGTGCGTTTGTCGACTTTGTATTTTCTGAGTGCTTATAGGATACACTTTCTACGTCTTGTCAAGACTTCTTCCTCTACTGAGTGGGGCTTTGGCACGCTTGGATTCGAGTAGTCTATCGTGTCGCCCGATCATCGATCCTCGCTCTGTTTACCGACTAAGATGAACTCGTAATAGTTTCAAGCATATTATCAACTGATGTGTATAATATTTATATAGTCTACTTGAGGGACTGACTTGAGTTCAACGACCATTGAATACTATGAAGTACTGGACAGGAGTTTTATTTTTAACGTAGATCTCATTAACGATAAATATTTAAGGATATAGGAAGGATTATTTTATCCTGGGAATAAAGAACTTGGAATAGTGAGCAAATATCCTTTGATATAAGTGATGCGTTAGTGTTTCACATTAGACATGACTGAACTCCAATGATCATGGCTTCTCACTTTGACTTGGTTAATGACTTCACGAAATAAGTCACATACATACTGGTCACTATCTTACCAACTTTACATTCAATCGGTCATCTGATAACTAAAATTTCTATATGGACTGTTATCAAAACTTACCAAAGTAATTCCAAGCTATCCTCAATGTTTATCGCAAAGAACCTCCTTGTCTCATAAGGAACCATCAGCTCTATAAGGCAGTATAGTATACGATATACACAAAGTGTATGGCACAGGACAGAAAGAGATGCTGCCCAGCTTGATGAGTTTGGGCTGAAACAGTTTTATTAACCTTTGTCACATGTCAGGTAATGATTCTGTCTCAATAGCGGAATTTTTAATTTCTCCAAACCATATGAGACCTGAGTTGGGAGTTTTATCCCTAAATCAACGTGAATATATATATATATATATATATATATATATATATATATATATATATATACGGAATCAGTTAACTCCAGATCTCCCAATAGATTCTGCATTTCCATTGACTCCATTTTTTGTAAACGAAGCAAGTAGCACTTTCAAGGCTCAGACCATAAACTCAAATACATGAGAGCATTTCGTGAGAGGGGATTCCCAAGCACCGTTGAGCGTGCCAGGTCATTCGGTGCCATGAGTTCTGCAGTGAGTCAAATTATCTGAAGAAAGAGAGTTTGACAGATATTTTAGCACAAACCGCATCTGTAGATAGTCAGGTTGTTGCTTAGGCATAAAAGAGTGTCACTTGAGTGTTCATTGAGGAATGGATGTTAACAGGTCGAAAAAGTGACTATCTACTGAAAACTATGTGTAAATTATAATCCGTTTCTCACTAGCATTAACTTCTAGCACAGCAATCACGTATGTGCTACAATGTGTCCTGCCCTTTTAACATGTGCATCAACTAAGATCGACCACATCACATTCAGAAACAGCTGGCATGGTTATCAACAAGATCACTGCTCATTTTATAGTACATGTTTGCGCCTTCACTAATACCTGATCTGTATTAAGATTATTTTCTGCTTAAGTTGTAAATGAACTTATCATCTTGAGAGGACTGATGCAAGCGATGCAAGCTGTTCTATTGTTTTCGACTAAACATCGAAACGAGTTGGTTTTCAAATAAACAATAAGGTGAAGTCCTCACTTAATTTCAACTTTTCAAATTCCATTAGTCACTAGGTTTAGCAGACCTGCTGGCAGTTCTTCCTAGCGATGATAGTAGACTTTTTTTTTAATTTCTAAAAAGACAGTTTTAAAAATTTTTTAGAAACGGTTAATTTTCTAAATTTCCAGTATGACGTTCCAGCAGTCCTTATATTTAGAACTGCTTACCTAATCTATGATGCAACTATAAGGAGATTGGTGTACTTTCGATTGTGTCGAATAAAAAGGCTTCCATAATTCATAAATATTCTTTCAGAATACATGAAAGACCGACTCACAAGAAGCAGCTTGGTTTCTGACCATACCGTCGACACATTGATCGCCTCTATACACTATTCTGATTGTTAGAGTATCGCCATTTTTATTTCACAACAATCGTTGTGCTTGTTGAGATCAAACTCGGTCTCCGTTTATTGAACAGGATTGTATTGTGGGATTGTATGTTAAAAATAGTGTGTTTGTGAAGTTCACTAACATCTTGAATGTTCGGCTTGCAAACACTCGATTTTGATTAATCGCAAACAGCCACCTCCTTCCATTGTTCTGTTTCAGAAGTGCAGTTAGATGCTGTCGTCTAATATTACCACTCCTCTTCACCGTTTCCATAGACGACAATCTGAAAACAGCCCTGATCGAAACGGGTAGCGGTGATGGGGATCTTCTAGAATGACACAGACCTCTCGATTGTCTCTATGTGAATGATACTCACACTACGCAAATCACACTTAATCAGTTGCTTATCAGTGCCTGACAGCATGGGATGTACTTCGTACTTCCTAAAATGTAACGTACTTATTCAAGACTGATAGCGGTCTTTACATACACCCACTCTTGGTAATGACAAGTTAGAAGTAGTCGAAAAGCGCGTGTATCTGCTAAGGTGTGTGGACCCAGATGGTATTGTGAATAACAAGGATGGTTTGTGTATTATAAAATCCAATCTAGACCATTTTCGGTGCAGCTATGATGTTAGTCAATCCCTTAAAAACACTAGGTCAACAACGCGCCATTTTGAGCAGTTCTGCTCTATGATTGCTAAAACTGACCATTTCTTTTGCAAGTATAGTTCGATGCAAAGTAAAATAATATCAGTTTAATTGACTTGTTTATGAACAGTAAGTCGATCATCATTATGTCGATTATGTGCCTTCATCTCAAACACATATAATCATCGTAAATGATTTAAATAACAGTTAACTTATCAGGGTGAGACTAGATATATAAAATCGAAATCACTGACTCAGGATATACGTAGGTCAATCAAGTCACATCAATCTTACTCCTTAATATTACAAACAAGAAGGAATTCATTAATGTTGATCAACGTCTTCATGTTGATTCAATTGAAGACGTGACTTGTAGAGTTCAACCCTGTTTCGGTGTAGGTAATAACTACCAAAGACAATCGGTAAGGTTGCACAAAATCATTAGTCTAACCAGACTTTGATATTAACATTGTTAGACGTCGGCCTACTAAATGGTCCAGAGGTTAGACGTTCACGCAGGTAACTGGAATCGTGAGTACACCCTACTGATGAATCCCCGATCAGGACGAAACATCTGTCTAATGCTTTCAAGTATCAGATAGTAAGTAGTCTAACAATGATTAATTCAAGATTTCAATGCTTTATTTATTTATAGTCAATCACTCATTTTTTTCTTTGAAACGGTATTTTTGTTAATTATAATCTTTTCAAAATGTTCCTTACAGAATCAACGACACTTCGATTGAACAAATTCAAATGTACATTGATTATTTTATTGATTCATATGTTTTATTTGAAACATTTCTAAAATTTGAAATTTATTTTTGAAAAAAAAAAAAACAAGAACAATCTTTCTTGTAAAATTATGTTTATTTTTTTGGAATAAAAAGCAGATATATATAGATATTGAACATGCGGAAAAAAACTTTTTTATTTTCACAGTTAAAGAATCTTCTCCAAGTTCTAGTGGGAAGTTGTGACCAGTGAGGAGGAGTTCAACCCTGTTCAGGTGCAGACAGTAACTACCGAAGACTGTGTATGAAGTTGCGCAACTCTGTGAATTGATCGAAGTTAGATATTAACATCGTTGGAACCTACCGGCTCATTGGTTCAAAGATTAGGCGTTCGCGCACAAGACTGAAGGTCTTGGGTTCGAATCCTGTGTGGTGTAGGAGCCGTGGATGCGCATTGCTGGTGAGTCTCATACCAGGACGAAAGAGCCGTCTTCCAGGTTTCTAATACTGGTGGTCTAACATTGATCGACTCATGGTTTCGAATGTGTAACAGTTGATGATAGCCTAAAGCCGAAAAATTAGGATCCATAATAAATATTGATAAATAACAGTGGAGAGAATTTAGAAAAATTGAATTTTAACAAAACAATAGATTCATGAACAGTGATATAAACATATGAGGACAAAAAGAAAGATTGTAACGAAGAAAAAGTCCCGATAGTCTGTTAAATACAACCTAAAAAACACATGGAATAACACGAAAAATGAAAAAAACTATGCGGAGGAATTTTGAGAAAAAACAACAGAATTCATGCGAGAACGATGATTGTCAGATAGATAGTATACAGGTTAGTCAACGGTACACGAAATGAAGCGTGTTCAGTTCCGTTGCCTCATACAGAATGCTGGATAGGCAAAGTCTATGGCAGAAACATACCGCTTCAAAATGGATAGACATATCTAACAGGATTCAAGTAACATTTAGGAAAGTAATAAATAGAAGAGAGAAAAAAGTGAAAAAACATTATTTAACAAAACAATGATTATTCTTAAAAAAGACTACACCCTGAATTATTCGTAAAAATAATGAATAACCACTCTCACTAAATACCGATCATTCAACTGACGCAACACACCGCAACACCAAATAACCACTTCCCCATTCACTGACAAACGTCCCGAACATCCACAGTCCCACCGCCAAGTCCAATGTACACAGCATCCCAAACCATACCACTCCCACTACTACTAACACTAAAAGCACCACCGGCATCCACTATCTACTCGTGATTTCACTATGCCCTCGCATCCTAATCACTGTCTACCTCCAATAAAGTCGGTCGGTCGGTCGGTTGTTCACTCTGTCAGTCGGACAGCTCGTCTCCACACCTCACATTCCACCGGTTCATTCCTACCTATTCATGCCAGTTATTTGGTCAAACCACACACCTTTCTGTCCGCCTCCACTCTACATCCATATTTCGTCTCAAACTTCTTCATACGATGGATGATGGTCTGATGTGTCGCTGTTGAACATTCGCTGTACTTTATGTAAATATTGTGCAAGAAGACAAAGCCATCAGTCATCATAATTTGCACAATGCATGCCAACAGTTGACATGGCCGATCGACAAGCTAGTCAACCACAAGTAATTTACCAGAGTTGGTCATTGTCTACCAGCATATAAGTGCCGTCACTCGGCGTCACCCAATTCAATCGGTATCCACGATGGTCGTCAGGAAATCGAAGGTGACGTGAGGGAATTAGAAACGGAAGGGAAGGAAGAAATGGCGATTGTGGTGTTGTTGGCGTTGTTGTTGTTGTTGTTGTTGTTGTTGTTGTGGTTGTGGTTGTTGCTGTTGGTGGTGGTGGTGGTGGTGGTGTTGGTGTCTTCGGCAGCGTCGGCGGCGACGGCGGTAACGATCGAGTAATTGTGGGAGAGTGTGCACATTGGTTTTGAAGAGAGCGCAGCAAATATTGACAAGCATGAGTATGTTAGTCACTTCGCCAATCAGAACGATCCATCAAGTAAGTTGCTTCGACCACAGACCACGGATAGACATCGCGAACATTCAACATGTCGAGATTAACGCGAAATGAGGACAAATGGAATCACAATGGATTGTCTATGTAGGATGCATAATATTTTACGTAGAAATTTCACACGGAGACAAGCACACACCGGACGTTGTGTAGACTGGACCTGCAAGGCGACCATGAGTGTGTGACAGTGTGTGGTTGTGTTTGAGAGTGGGTCCTGTCGATTGGTCAATGTCGGTGGTCCAGTGTAGGTGAGATTGGCACGATCGATCGCTGTGCTGCTGCGATCACTACTACCGATGTTGTGAAGGAAGAAGATGTCACAAGCAAGTCCCACATGTAGACATTCGGTGAAGCAGTGCAAATTGAGCGAGCTGAGAGTTCACGGTGAGCTGGTGTTGCAACTGATGTGCGACACGTATCTGTTAGGCATGTGTAGACGGAGAGGCTAGTGTTTCAGTTTTATGTGTAGAGACTGGTGATGTATGGTGAATGATGATGATGAATAGGTAAAAGCCACTCCCGCGCCGGGAGTCGAACCCGGGCCGCCTGGGTGAGAGCCAGGAATCCTAACCGCTAGACCACGCGGGACGTCTATTCTCTCCAAACCACACACACTCCCACACACACATTGTCATTCGCAACATCCTATCCACTCACACTCACACACCACGTCATGTCACGATGTCACGTCACACAACACCAACAAACTCTATCAACACATATCCCACATACAACCACTCTCACTAAATACCGATCATTCAACTGACGCAACACACCGCAACACCAAATAACCACTTCCCCATTCACTGACAAACGTCCCGAACATCCACAGTCCCACCGCCAAGTCCAATGTACACAGCATCCCAAACCATACCACTCCCACTACTACTAACACTAAAAGCACCACCGGCATCCACTATCTACTCGTGATTTCACTATGCCCTCGCATCCTAATCACTGTCTACCTCCAATAAAGTCGGTCGGTCGGTCGGTTGTTCACTCTGTCAGTCGGACAGCTCGTCTCCACACCTCACATTCCACCGGTTCATTCCTACCTATTCATGCCAGTTATTTGGTCAAACCACACACCTTTCTGTCCGCCTCCACTCTACATCCATATTTCGTCTCAAACTTCTTCATACGATGGATGATGGTCTGATGTGTCGCTGTTGAACATTCGCTGTACTTTATGTAAATATTGTGCAAGAAGACAAAGCCATCAGTCATCATAATTTGCACAATGCATGCCAACAGTTGACATGGCCGATCGACAAGCTAGTCAACCACAAGTAATTTACCAGAGTTGGTCATTGTCTACCAGCATATAAGTGCCGTCACTCGGCGTCACCCAATTCAATCGGTATCCACGATGGTCGTCAGGAAATCGAAGGTGACGTGAGGGAATTAGAAACGGAAGGGAAGGAAGAAATGGCGATTGTGGTGTTGTTGGCGTTGTTGTTGTTGTTGTTGTTGTTGTGGTTGTGGTTGTTGCTGTTGGTGGTGGTGGTGGTGGTGGTGGTGGTGTTGGTGTCTTCGGCAGCGTCGGCGGCGACGGCGGTAACGATCGAGTAATTGTGGGAGAGTGTGCACATTGGTTTTGAAGAGAGCGCAGCAAATATTGACAAGCATGAGTATGTTAGTCACTTCGCCAATCAGAACGATCCATCAAGTAAGTTGCTTCGACCACAGACCACGGATAGACATCGCGAACATTCAACATGTCGAGATTAACGCGAAATGAGGACAAATGGAATCACAATGGATTGTCTATGTAGGATGCATAATATTTTACGTAGAAATTTCACACGGAGACAAGCACACACCGGACGTTGTGTAGACTGGACCTGCAAGGCGACCATGAGTGTGTGACAGTGTGTGGTTGTGTTTGAGAGTGGGTCCTGTCGATTGGTCAATGTCGGTGGTCCAGTGTAGGTGAGATTGGCACGATCGATCGCTGTGCTGCTGCGATCACTACTACCGATGTTGTGAAGGAAGAAGATGTCACAAGCAAGTCCCACATGTAGACATTCGGTGAAGCAGTGCAAATTGTGCGAGCTGAGAGTTCACGGTGAGCTGGTGTTGCAACTGATGTGCGACACGTATCTGTTAGGCATGTGTAGACGGAGAGGCTAGTGTTTCAGTTTTATGTGTAGAGACTGGTGATGTATGGTGAATGATGATGATGAATAGGTAAAAGCCACTCCCGCGCCGGGAGTCGAACCCGGGCCGCCTGGGTGAGAGCCAGGAATCCTAACCGCTAGACCACGCGGGACGTCTATTCTCTCCAAACCACACACACTCCCACACACACATTGTCATTCGCAACATCCTATCCACTCACACTCACACACCACGTCATGTCACGATGTCACGTCACACAACACCAACAAACTCTATCAACACATATCCCACATACAACCACTCTCACTAAATACCGATCATTCAACTGACGCAACACACCGCAACACCAAATAACCACTTCCCCATTCACTGACAAACGTCCCGAACATCCACAGTCCCACCGCCAAGTCCAATGTACACAGCATCCCAAACCATACCACTCCCACTACTACTAACACTAAAAGCACCACCGGCATCCACTATCTACTCGTGATTTCACTATGCCCTCGCATCCTAATCACTGTCTACCTCCAATAAAGTCGGTCGGTCGGTCGGTTGTTCACTCTGTCAGTCGGACAGCTCGTCTCCACACCTCACATTCCACCGGTTCATTCCTACCTATTCATGCCAGTTATTTGGTCAAACCACACACCTTTCTGTCCGCCTCCACTCTACATCCATATTTCGTCTCAAACTTCTTCATACGATGGATGATGGTCTGATGTGTCGCTGTTGAACATTCGCTGTACTTTATGTAAATATTGTGCAAGAAGACAAAGCCATCAGTCATCATAATTTGCACAATGCATGCCAACAGTTGACATGGCCGATCGACAAGCTAGTCAACCACAAGTAATTTACCAGAGTTGGTCATTGTCTACCAGCATATAAGTGCCGTCACTCGGCGTCACCCAATTCAATCGGTATCCACGATGGT